TTTTTTAGTCAAAGGATTGAGTATAACATTATCACAAATGCTAGTCTTCAACTTTAATTACAGTCAATGTAAACATGCTGGTTTTGACAGGTATCAATTAAAACAAACAACAAAACCCTTAAAACAATATTCATTTCAAAAAGAAGTAATTAAAGTTTTGATCCCACAAAGACTGCTTTGCATGCTTAACTTGTTGGAAATACACAGATGAAATGAAGCTGAGGACATGCACATGGTGTTAAGGTCAGGGATAAAGAAAGAGGAAGTCCTGCACTTCGTAGATACAGAACTGAAACAGGAGCCCAGAATTACAAACGAATTAATTCAAACATCTGGACACAACCCATATCTCCAAAGATAGTGCTTATCACCAGCTGCCTGTTTGACTTACTATCACCCTTCCTCATAATCCAGCACCCAGCATTCTAGTATTTTCTAGAAGAGCCACTTGATTCTTAGACAGACAAATACACTTGAAGATACAGCTGCTATGACAGGTCATTAAAAAAAAACCAAGCCAACAACTCATTTAAAAAAACCAAAACAAAACAAAAAAACAACTAACAAAAAAAACCCCACAGCAATTATTCAGGAATCTTAAAACATGAAGAGAATTCAGATCTTATTAATATCAACGAAGCAGCTGAACCATCAGGTTATCTTCTCCCTCACAGCTATTACTCACTCGTGAGTAAGGGGCTGAGTTTTCTCTTTATTTAGCATGCAGTTTTGAGTCACTAACTGCCAAGTTCAGTAAATAAATCAGATAAACATGCAGGTTTTTAATGGCTTGTGAAAATTCTTCCCAAATTTAAGATAAAATTGAAACTGTAGGTTAAGCAAATGAACTATCTGACCTACTGCTGCTGAGCTCTACCAGTACAAAGATGACAAACTGCACCAAATACTTTTCAGTGCATCTGAAGGGGCTCACTTTAAAAATAGAGACAGCTCTCAATGTTTCTGAAAATATGTTTCTTTCATAACTTTTTCAGCTCTAAAAATCAATTGTGTAAGTAAACTCTGCTACTTTCCATTTAAATAGTCATGAGTCTCTCACACATGAAACTTAGTAAATTAACTGGAGAGATACTGCCGACTATATATGTTACACTAAGTATTATGAGAAATAAATAATCAGCTCCAAATGACAGAGCACAGGCAGAGAAAAGCTATCTTTACATGAAAAAACAGTAGCATAAGTAAGTGCAAACTGCCAAAAATCTCAAAATACTGTAGTGGAATTATTTTTCACAATTCTGGTGCCTGAAGTAACTTGATTTGGCTTGGATAAATGAAACAAAAAGGCTACCTTTGCTTTTTATTTTATTAATTTCAAATATACTGAAACCCACCAGGTGACACAGTAACATTGTGAAGCAAAATTAATTCACCTGAAAAAATACGCCAGTAACAACCAAAACACAGGCGACTAAATGAATTATCTAACCTTGAATTATCTAAATTTTGGTCTCGTTATCAGAACAAAGAAAGTGGCTGCGTTGATTAGCATTAATTATGCATACCTCTACCTGGGAGAGTGGCTTGATGGAAGCCTCGGTGCAAAACTGATTCAAGCCTGCTAACAAAACAAGAACCGAGACATGGGTGCCCTGATACAGACCATTCATCTCCCCAGCACATCTCACCTAACGGCAAGAGAAGCACTAAAAGGAACTCGTTAAGTTGTAAGCTGAGTTACAGAGGAGGCAAGCCTAACCTGGAGCTGAGGATGAAGGCCACACGCAGACACCCAGGGTGAGTGACCACCATGGCTCCCGGGTGGGTACGGGGCGCGCAGGCGGCCCCGCGCTGCGGGAGGGCCGGGCTCGGCGGCGGCACAGATCCGCGCCCGGCCGCTCGCTCCGGCTGAAGGCGCAGCCCTCAGACGGCCATTTCGCCCCCACCGCCCCGGCTGCCCTCTCCGAAACCCAATTACAGCTCGGCAATTCCAAATCCGACGCGGAACACGCCTCTTTGGTGAGGCAGAGAAGGCAGAGCCTCGGATTCCCCCACCTCAGCAACAGAACCGATACTTACTCCCATCCCTCACCGCAAGATAAGGGGCGAAAAGGCGCGGGCCGCAGCCAAACCGGGCCCGGCGCCAGCGCGGCCCGCGGGCTCACCTTGAAATAGATCTCGTCCACCACTTCGTGGTAGGTCTTGAGCTCGTAGAGCTGCACCTTGAAGTAGGGCGACGAGAGGATGTTGGTGAGGATCATAGGGTTCAGGTTCATGGTCTTTTCGTTGCCCCACAGCGGTAGCACGTTGCCCTGCTTGCCCGAGGCCGCCGGCTTGGGGCCCCCGCTCTGCAGCGGCTGCTGCACGGGCGGGACGGCACCGGGCGGGTGCTGGGCCACCTGCTGCCCCTGGCAGTTCGCCACCGCGGGGCTGTTGTTGGCCATGGCGGGTCGGCGCTCGGGGCAGGCGGGCCGCGCACACGGAGCGGGGCCGGCGGGCGCTGCCTCAGCCCCGACAAGATGGCGGCCGGGGAAGTGACGGCGGCGCCTTCCGGGGCCGCGTCACCGACCCGCGGGGCGCGGCGGGGAAAGGGCGGGGGAGCCGCGGAGCTTTCTCGCGGCCCCGCCCGCCCACAGCGCGGCCGTTTCCGCCCTCGCCTCGCCTCGCCTCGCCTCGCCTCGCCTCGCCTCGCCTGGCGGCAGCGCGGGGACCCGGCGGGCGGGACATCCTTGCTAGGGAGAGCGAGGGGACTCCGTGACCCGGCGGGGGGCAGCTGCTGACACCGTCACACGGAGTTCTGTGGATTAAGCCCCGGAATTTACAAAGTTGAAAAGTGGTCCCTTCGGTCCCTTGTCGGTGGTAATGAGGCCACGGCACAGCTGGCGCTGGCCACTTCTGCCTCCACAGCAGCAGAGAAGCAAAGAAGTCACAGAATGACTCGGGTTGGAAGGGGACCTTGAGGACCGTCTGTCTGGTTCCAACCCCTGCCATGGGCAGGGACACCTTCCATTAGGCCAGGCTGCTTCAAGCCCAATCCACACTGAACATCCAGAAATGTTCAGTGTGCTGTAGCCCCGGAGGGGGCCACACCATTTCTTTCACGTTCCCAATCTTCCAAAGATTGGATCTCCAATCCAATGTCACTATTAGAGCAATCAGAAAGGATATCTCTGTGATTATGTTGTTCAGAGTGGAGAATTATAACAGGTGATAATTCTGAAAGTTTTACTTACAGTGATACGTCTCGGGGTGAAGTCTTATGAACTATTAGAACATTGTGTGAATTTGCAATGTGTTACTAATTGAATTTTACTGTTAACTTTACTACTCTTCTTCTCTATACGTTTTTTGTTCTTTTTTGTTCTAAAGAATCCATTATACTGACTTGTAATTAGAATTTCACAGCATACCTCAGAATCCATAGAATTGGAAGCTGCTATGTAAAAGACTTCTATTAATAAACCTTTCTCTGAGGTAAAAAAAAAAAAAAAAAAAAAAAAAAAAACCAACACAAAACTGGCCAGAATTTATAGAATTATCTAGATGAGATGTAGGTACTAAGTGATAGTTCAGGGTTAAACAATTAGCAGCCAAAAGGAGTAACTATGTGCTCTGTCTAGGCCACAAAACGTAAAATGTTAGCCAAAAGTTGGCATACACATTTCTAGAATATTCTGAAATCTTAAAAGGGCACTGACTAACTTATCTAACTTTATCCCCCTCACTTCCACCTGAGTTCTTCCTCCTTCTAGGTCCCAGGCCTACACTATACTCTATTAATACCAGCCCTGCCCGGTGATTAGTGAATGCTTTACATGCTGTTAACAGAAGAAATGGAACATTTAGAGCCACACTTTCTTTTCTAGTTTCACCATGCACTACATAGCTGCCTGCTCACTGAGAGACAAATTTGCCCTAGCATGGAAAATACTTAATGAAACGTTGCAGAATACATCGATTTTGGATGTGTGTGCGCTCTGCCGCACACACCCAGACAGGGTTAGTTCACTGTGTATGACAACCAGCTCCCTAGCGCGCTTTCCCTCTGCGGCGGAGCACACGCGGCTTTAGACACAGCAGCACCGCAAGGGACCGGCATGACGAGTGGCGAGATTTTGGGGGTTTAGTGTAAATGAGTAGGGACACCGCTCGCCGCCGCCAATCACTTAATGACACTGAGGGAGGCTGGCGCGGGTCAGTAGAACAGGTGGGCCGCGGAACGCTCGTTGCAGCCCATTTATCGCCTCTCACAGAAGCGCCTTAGGGAACACCCCCCGCACTGGGGGCTGCCCACTGCAGCTCCCGGCGCTGCCCGGAGGTGCCGCACCCCCGTAGGGGCGGCCGCTTGTGCCAGGCGGGAGCTCGCCGTGGGAGAGAAGGTGGACGGGAAGCACGGGGGAGCCCCGGCTAGGGCAGGGGGTAGCTGGGCCGGGGGCAGTGGCTGTCGCGGGCAGTGGATATCGGGGTCGGGAGCCGGCTGGGATCGGGAGCCAGGGCGGCTGAGGAGCCGGCGGGGTCAGGCGGGCGTGCCGCGGGTGCGCCTCAGGCGGGCGCTGCTGAGGGCAGCCCAGCAGGCCCGCTGAGCTCTGGGGCGGCAGGGGACTGGCCTGAACACCGAGCCGGCTTTTGTGCGTATATATACACAAAATCATAGTTTTATTTGTGTGTAAAAGACCTCGTAGAACAATCAAGTTGCGCGCAGGCTTGGCCCAAATGCGTTTGGTTGTAGTGTTTGGTTATGGTCTCTGTCCAGGTGTGCTGGATGGAGAGTGACAGATTATGAAATTTGCTTTTTTGGATTTGTATGTGATTTATAGTCGTTTGCATAAGGTTATTTTCATAATTACGTGTGGAGAGAACAGTCTAATCGTGCTAATCCCAATGTTTTTGTCATTCTTTGAATAGGACTCAGATCAGGTCTGCCCCTGGTTAACTGGGACTCAAACACCACTGAAAACAACAAACTTTGTAATTGGATGTATTGTGAAGTGCTTCAGAAAATAAGAGTTAACTTTTTATTTTAGGATTCCCAGAATACTATGGATAAGAACTTCAAAGAAGAGTTTAGGCAAATTATTAAATTTGAACCTCCTTTGTACAAACAACGCTACCAGTTTGTTAAAGATTTAGTGGAGAAGTACAAACCTAAGAAGGTTGGTATGTTTTGTCTCTTTAGGTTATAAACTTGGAAGTAAATTGACACTTGGCATCTCAGGGACACAAAATGCATAAATAACCTGTTGACCTAATTACCAAACAATAGTAGTGAAGGAGTGTTAAAACTGAATGCCCTTAGCAGATACCTTGTGATATGTTGTTTTGCAGGGGTGCATAAAATTAATGTTACTTGACAGGAAGAAGAGAATATTTAAAAAAGAGAAATGCCTTAGATTGTTTTCGAATGTAGTGGGCATTCTGTTTTTAATATAATGCTGTGGAATTTGGTTCAAGTTGCTTTCCTCATAGTTGGGTTTTGCTTTCCAGAGCTGTTGGTTCCATGTAGTGCATCAGGTTTATTTCATCATTTGCATGGATAGTCTCAGATGAGAAGTGACATTGAGAGTGTGGGATTATGTGAGGCTAACTCATCTCCACTTTCTTAACATCTTGTGACCTGTGTTGTCACCTGTGTCCCCCCAGTATACCAGAACTTTTGTTTTACTACTCACTGTGAAAAGTTAAATTGTTTAAGTAATATTCTGTAGTGTTTGCTCTCTTCTAATGTGTCCTCCCCATTTCCTTCCCAAAAAGATCTTCTCAAGTCTGCAGTGTTTAACCCTTAAAGTGATGTTAATAGGGCATGCAAGAAACTGATGCACCTGCATTACTTATGTAATCATCCTTCTACTAGCTAATAAAAATGTAATCCAGTCTATGATGCCATGACACTGTAATATGCTTTAAAATAGAACATATTCACCAGTGTTGCATCTGTCTTTAAAGGTTTGGGTTTTCTGATTTAGGATGTGGGAGGGTTTGCACAGCCAGTAGATAAACTGGGTAGAAACAACTCAGGATTTTCACATGGGGAGCAGCAGTGTGCTTCAACCTTGACTGAGCCTGAGAAAGAACAGTGGGAGTTGGTTTACATATTCAACTATCTCTTTAGCTTACAGGAAAGACTGCCTTATTATTTGACTTCATGGTCTGAATATCCCCAAAGTTCCCCACTTAAACATTAGACTGAGCTTGTAAACTTGTTTTATGCGGATTCTTTGCTGCTAACTTGGCTGCTGGTGAGCCTATTCTCAGTGTTTTGAGGGGAGAACAGCCCAGTGAAAAGCAGTGGTGAATGTGAAAATTGCTGCAGCTTTTGTACTTGAAATCATACTTTTCTGTTCCTCATGTGGAAGACATTTTCCAGAGTCAATGGGATGTCCTACATGTACTTGTTTATAGCTGTAGTAACAAAAGGTTAATTCTTTTTAAAAAATCTTGCAGGGTCTTCAAATACATTTTTTAAAAGAATTTTCAAATCTGCATCTATCCTGCTTGCTTACAGCTGTAAATTTTAATTACAATTCTGAAATGCTTTGTATTAAAAAGTTATTTTGATAAGTATGGAATTTTAATTTAATGCAAGTCTCTGATATTACTTAATACTATATAACATTTATACATTTTTTAATATCTAATTTACAGGTGGCAGATTTAGGATGTGCTGATTGCAGCCTTCTCTGGATGCTGAAATTCTGCAGTTGCATTGAAGTGCTAGCTGGGCTAGATATCTGTGCAAATGTAATGAAAGAGAAAATGTAAGCTCTTTGGTTGCTTTGAGGTTTGTGTTTGTCTTTACCTAGTGGTGTGGTGGGTTCACCTGGCTGGAGCCAGGAGCTCACCAAAAGCTGCTCTGTCATTCCCCCTGCTTGCAGAGGCCTCAGGGTGTGCACATCTGAGAAATGCACTGTTTGTAAAGGCACTAGTGCATGGTGTTAGGAATACCTGTGTATGCTTATATGTGACATTATTGTCTTCAGAAGGATCAGTTTTGATCTTTTTGAGATGTGCATGGGACTTTAGTCACCAAGGTGGGGACTTGTTTATCATTTTGAAATAGGAAGGTTAGCTCAGTGTGTGGGGTCTGGTTAAGAACCTCTCTAAAATGAGAGGTTTATGTGATCTTTGAAGCGTTGGTCCAAGGGATGAATGTAGATTTCCTGAAAGCAGATTAACACAATTTCACTGAGTCTGTAGGATCTGGATGTTTTCTCTCACTCTTTCTCAAGAATGAGGAGAAGTAACCTTTTATATGTAATATTTATTCTGTGTTTTGTCTAATGCTGTACTTCAGAATGAAATTTGCACATGTACTTGGTTTCTCAGTGTATTTTACTTGGAAAAAATAGGGAATATGCTTGGCCAAAACTACCTCCAAAACCCTGCAAAGCTTGTCTAAACCAGACTTACTGTGTATCTGGAATTTAACTATTATCAGAATTTATAAGTGGCTTTCCAGGTGACTTGAGAGTATAATGGAAATTTTTGTAAACACAAAGGACAGTTTTTGCATTAACTTCTGCTCTTTCTGTCCTATGATAGGTAGTTAGAAGAAGTGTTTGTATTGCATATTCTTTGTTATATCCATGTCAAGTAAACCTTTTTGAAATTCATGAGGTATCTATGCAGGGTGTTAGCTAGTTCATTTTCATGCACTATTTATCACATCTTAAGGTGCTTCCTGTAACATGATATTTTTAATACTTTTGTAGGCATACATTGTCTCCTCTTCCTGTTGATTATTTGCAGCCATCTGAAAGATCCCTAACTGTTACCTTGCATCATGGTTCAGTTGCCCACAAAGATCCTTGCATGCTTGGTTTTGACTTGGTGACGTGTATTGAACTGTGAGTATCAGCACAATACAGAATGGTTTTTTTAGAGTTCAGTTTGGAATTTTGTCCTTGCTCCAAACAGACTTGATCAAACCTTTCAAGCAGAAGAGTAGAATTAGAAAAGTAGAAAGTAGAAGAGTGGCTCCTAACTTGTGTTTTAATTAATCATGCTAAGTAATTTAGGTAGTGCTTATGGCAGGAAGAGCATACTGATGAAAAAGTACAAAATGCAAGAGGAGATTTGCTCAGACAAAATCCCCTGTGCTGCCACTTGGCCACAGTGCCAGTGCTCTTATTGCAGAGATAGGTGTAAAATTATAAGTTACAAATAGGGGTTTGGGGTTCTTCTGACTGGTTGTTAAGATTATAGTAGTGTGTTTTTAAACAAAGACATCAACTTACTCTTTTCAGAATAGAACACCTGGAAGAATCAGAGCTGAAGAAGTTTCCTGAAGTGGTGTTTGGTTTCATGGCTCCAAGCATAGTTGTGATCAGCACTCCAAATTCTGAATTCAACTGTTTGCTTCCAAGAGTGATGTTATACAGGCATCCAGACCACAAATTCGAGTGGAGCCAAGCAGAGTTTCAAAGCTGGTAAGGTACTGAACATCATATGCTGGGTGCACATGATGCAGCTCTGAGTACCCAGTAGTGGGGCTGTGCATTTTCAGAATGGTTCATTTATGTGGTTTTCTGTCAGTGAAGTGTCACCTCCTGGTTTGGTGGTCGCTTTGCTGTTGAGAGCAGTTAAGCATTTTCTGTGGATTTTGTGTTTTATGGTGGTGGTTTAATTGGCTTTTACTTTAACTGCTGTGCAAAAGAAGATTTAAAACTTTTACTTACTCTTTATATATCTTTATCACAATTAACACAGTTGAAAGATAAGTTATCAATTAATATTTTTGCATAATATCCTGCTATAGAAATTCTTCATAAAATCCAAGAAATGGGCTTGCTTTATATGGTGTGTAATCAAAGCACTCAGTAAGAGTATGCAAGCAGATATTATCAGATAGCCACAGCATGTTGAACAAAGGAGAGTTTAATGGATCATGGCACAATGAGGGATTTAATGCAGATCATATATGCATGACAGAGGGTTATATGAGATCTATCTTACCCTTAATATCAGGAATGTAATAAAAATAAAACAAAGAGACAATGGGACGCTCTGATAACATTCAGCTGTCAAGCAGTTGTGGAAGAAAATACATGGTACAGTAAAGAATGCCATACCTCAGTAGCCAACTCTTGGTGTAGCTGTCCTGGAAATTTTGCCCCTTGTTTCTGCCACACACTTGAAAGTATCCAGTGATTTTTGAGTAAATGGTTTTGCAAAGCTGGAAGCATGTATTTTTCCCTACATAACAATACTAAAACCTGCCTGTAATTAGCTACCTTAGAATACCTTAGAGAAAATTTCTGTGACTTCAAGTATATTTAGATTTTGCTTTTAGATAGATATGAATTTAAAATATTGGTATCACTGAAGAAATGTGGGCATTTTCTGAGCTGTAAACATGAGAAAGCCTTTGTGTTGTGAAATAGAAATATTACGTTATTCTCTAAAATACATGAGATATTAATTTATTTTTCTTCTTTTCCATGGAGAATAGTGCAGGTAGGTAGCACAGTTTTGGTTTCCTGCCCCATTTGTTCACACTGGCTGATGATATAAGATATTTTCATTTAGGTGTTACATAGACTGTTATAACCTTGATTAGGTAGATTTTAGTCTTTCTATATTTACGGCAAACCACACTTTCTCTATTAACTGGTCTCTTGTGGTTTAAAGGTGTGTATGTTTTCCATGGGTTCTTCTCAAATAAACTTGTTCTTGAAAATCATTGTATAGCTGACTTCCAGGCTGGTGAGTAAGCAGCTGTGAGCATTAACATTCATGCACATTTTGTAGAAGAAACAGTAATGTTTGGATGGCTAAATTACTGATACTAAATGATTCACATTATGGTAAGCATCTTACAGCTCTGGTACAACAAGATGTGACAGTGCTTATCTTCAGGCCTGGGAGTATTGTTAGAGAAATTATGTTCAAGCCTTTGCATCTTTAGAGTCTTGATTCTCCTTAAGAATGGCTCTTTATCACATGGAAAGATGAATATTTCATATGATGGGAATAATTGGTCTTTCTTAGGGCTCTAGAGACTGCTAGATGCTATGATTACTCAGTGGAATTTACTGGTGTCGGGCACCCACCAACAGGAATGGAGAAGGTTGGGTTTTGTACCCAAATAGGTGTGTTTTTTAGAAAATACCCTCAAAGTGCTGAATCTGTTCAGTCTGAGAAACCCATGGAAGCAGTTTACAAAACAGTAAGTATTGCTTTCTTCTTTTAGAGGTGTGAATAAAGAGTAAAGTTGTCTGTGACTGCCTGTGGGGTTGTTACCAGGAAATACTGCTGATAATCACAGCAAGACAGTCTCAGTCTTTGTGTTTGCAGTTGTACAGAGGCCTTAAACTTTTAGGTTATTTGCTAAATAACAATATGGATAATCATTCTTATCTTAACATACTCCCATTCTTGCAATGAAATTGTTCCTTCCTGCCAGCTGTTTTTCCGCTAGTCATTAAATTTATTTATTTATTATGTGGCTGCTGGCAATGACACAGATTTTTCAGATACATAAAAAATTTTAAAAAACCATGTCTTGATAAATGTGACCTGAACTGAAACGTAAAGTTGTGTTATGGCTTAATCTTTTATTGCTTCCAAGCTATAAAAAACATTTGTAATTCCTGTATTGAAAATTTCTATGCATGTGAAATGTCACCTGTCATCTATTGCCCTTAACAGATTAATGAAATAGTCTTTAATGCTCACCAGACTTGGAAATACATCTAGGTGATGGACATGTACTAGAAATTGCTTTCATTAGCTCCTGTTATAGGGTCATTTTGCAGAGTTTTGACATGGGTATCCTTTGAGGTTAAACAAGAGTGTTAATTTTGTGTGTTTCTTATCAAATTAATTTTTATAAGGTAACTAATTTATAGGAATAATTCAATATTTCAAGGTGTAATTGGAAAGTAAGAAATAATTATAGACAGTGGAACTTCACTGGAAGTGTGTTGGTATAAAACACTTCCTAGTAACCTGGTGGGAATGAGATTGCCTGCTTTGTTTCCTTAATTGCCTTGGAGTATAGCTCAGTGTAGAACACACTACAATTTCCCAGATTTTGATGTCACAATTTATTTTTTAGCATTCCTTACAGCTGTGAGAGCATATTTAATGTTTGACTCTGAAAACAATAAATGACATGCTGTAGTCTTGGTTTCCAGATGACAATTCAGAACTAGTTTAGAATCTCCATCACTATAAAACTGTCCCCAGAACTCCATAATGTGAGAAGTAAGAAAATTATTGAAAAGAGGTGAAGAATTGCAGGGTTTTACCTTGCCTGATCTATAAGTGTATCTTGCAGGTATTGCCTGTTGGGTTTTGGGGTGTTTAAGTTCAATTAACTGCTAGTGTAGTTGTAATAAAGAAAACCAGCTCATATTGCCTAGTTTTTGTTACCTCAAACTGTTTAATAAGCAAAACAGGATTGAATAAAAAATTATATTCCCATTTTAGCAGCTTTTTTGGACAGCAGATGTTAAAATCTGAGCTTGTGATAGTGATAAATATTTTATGTTTTCTTGTATATTGTAAAGGTCTTCAAAGCAGTGTACCCAAGTCTTAAAGATGAGAAGTACTTGCAGAATGCAGTGATCAGTGAAGTTATTTTCACAGCCCAAATCATTAAGCACCGTTTAATGTCAAAACGTCAGGAGTACAGTGATGATCCTGAGAGAAAATCCAAATTCCAACTTTCAATGGACTGTTTTTCTGACAATCTTGGAAAAGTGGTTGTTGAAAAAAACATGGAACCATTTGTCAGTGGAAATGAGGTTTACATACCTCTCAGAACAATCTTTTCTTTTCCCAAAGTGAATCGACTTTGTGGTACCTTTGAGAAGTTATGCAAGCTTATTGCAGGCAAGATCACACTGAGCAGTGATGGTTCTGCTGTGATGTTCAATATTGAACATGAAAATGAAGAGAATTAGATCAGATTTCTCAAACGAAGTTCAGGTGAAGTAATGAAGGTGGTTTTTTTAGAAGCTGTCAAATGGTATGTTCTGTATGCTAACTAGAGCACAAAAGCTTTTCTAACCTTCCATCAGTGGTAGTTATCTGTCAGCACCTCTCACTGAGTGAAGGTGAGTGCTTCTGACAAAGGTAACAGTAACTCATAGGGGTTTCAAGTGAGTATCAGGGGCTAAAAGGAAAGATTTCATTCCCAAGAAGAAAATGAAGCATTTCTGTTTGCTTTCCATTGCTTTATTGGAGCTATCATTACTAGATTATTTCTGGTAGTCTCTTGTTAGTATCAAGGATAGTTTGTTTTATCATCTACTGTGTTGTGCTGAATAATGTGAGTCAGACATAAGTTTAGGGCAAGTTTTTTCTTAATTTCTTTAAAATTTATAGATGCCTTTTTCAAGATGATGAAAACCTCAGCCTTGATGAAAAACAAATGTTGTTCCTGCTGAATTAAAATATGAAACTGGCAGAGTTGTTCTGTTTTTGAAAGAATATTAAAAAACTGAAAGAACTGCAGTAATTGTGAATGCTAACCTATCTCTGGTGTAGTTGAAAAATTTTCTGTGTTTTCATGTGCAGCTTTTGTTCAAAACTGTAAAATCCTAATAGAGTAGATGGGAAAAATTTAACAAGAACAAAACCCCACAACACAACCAAAAAAACCCCTCCAACACCAACATCAAGAAAAGAGTGCAGTATCCTGATTATAAGGGAAATAATGTGTGTATTGATTGTTTGGTTATGGTCAGAATAGTTGAACAGAACACTTCTGATCAGTGTTCTGAATTTAAAATTTTCCTTCTAGATTAGAAAAAGAATGGAATCCAAATGACACATTTTCCTGATAATATAGATGTCACTTTGTGATAACACAGAAGCAGAAAAAAGCAAAGCATTTTAAAAAGAAATCCTTAACTGGAAGAGAAACTGAAATAGACTCAAACTTCCAGTTAAGTTTGTAATATTTTGCATTGAAGAAAGAGACAATTCTTTAGGAATAGATTCCAAGCTGAAGACATGAGTTTATTGAATGTCTGAGAGATTTGTATTCAAATACAGTTAAAAAAACATAATCCACCAGTACATCCCAAACAGTTTACAACATGGAAATCTCCAGTATTCATATAACATAGTTTACAAAAAAGAAAATACAGCACCTAGATGTGAAGGTTATGTTCCACTTACATGATGCACAATTAGATTATCACTTCATGAAGAGTTGTAAGTCAAGTCAGAAGAATAAATTACTAAGATACAGTTTTATGAAAAGCTGAATTTCTATGTCAATTTCCTTATTACTTAAAAGATCTGCTCAGGCAAGAAAATACTGTTTCTAGTAAACAAATTATCTAATCTATGACCATCAGCTGTGTTGTTTAACATAAAATGCTATGGAAATTCCCTTGAGAATTACATAAGCAGCTGTACACTGTTTTTTAAAAGTCTGTTTTCCTCAAACTACATGTAGTTTTCCTAGTAAATGTAAGCAAACTACCATTTAACTACTACTAGTTTTAATGGATTGTCAAGAAGTATAGCAGTGTCAAAGAGTACTGAAAGCAAAGAATGTATTCAAATTTCTGGCAACTTTTGCTTGCAATGGGATTTTTTGGTATGAATTGGTTATATAACAGGAAAGGAGACTGTAATGTTCTGAGAGAGTTGTATACCAGCAGTTGAGTAGTTTCTGTTTAAAATTCCTGTGGAGAACAGAAACTGATAATACCACACTTCTATTAAGAGCAGCTAAAATAGAATCTTTGTATTAATTCTTTTGTCTAATTAGACACTCTAAAGAGGTTATAATTAACAGTAGAAATAGAAGTATGCAAGTACCAAAACTGAGAAATAGCTCATATTCATCATTTTCAATAACAGCATTCTGGCTTTGAAGGCTGAAATTTCATTAAAAATACAAATAAAAGTTCAATAATTCTACTATGGATTTCTGGAAAACAAAGTCTGCTTTTGCTAATTTAACCTATTAAATATGGCCTACTTTTACATCAATAAAAAGGCGTCTGAGCAAAACCTGAAGCATTCTGAGCTTTCAAAAGTGATGACACTATTTTTACTTATTCCAGGCCTTAACTGATAAACAGTACCATTAAATTAAACAAAAAAATTAAGTCATTTGCAGTTTACAATTAATTATACCTATTTGTTACCCAACATATCCCTTTAAAAATGGATTCTTTCATATTCCAAATGAAAATTTAAAGAGCTCTTTCTTGCCTGTCAGGCAAATCACTACCTGTGCAAATTTAAATACAGTACATTGACCTAATGTAACAGTGGACAGATAGCAAAAGAAGTGTTCAACAAAGCTGTTGCACACTAAGACTTTTTCAGTGTGCAGAGTATGTCTATAATAAAGTGCTTCTCTTAACAAGTTCTATCAATAATAGCATATATAGATGTTTACCTAGTTTTAAAGCTTAAGTTCCTTAATAAATGGTCTAGCCTCCTTGTACACCCCCAATCCCACAAGGCACATTCAAAACACAAGCAAAGCACTGACTGTGAAGGATTAAACTACAATTAAAAAAATTAAGTGGTAGTAAACTACTGACTAGGTTTGTAAACAGTACCGTCCCATTGGATCTCATGCATTAGCAAAGTGAGTTTCTGTGGGAGCAGCTGCTGAACTCCAGATTTAACAATCAAGGCAGCTTTCTTCATAAAATGCTATTGTGTCTTAGTGTTTTGGTGTGGAATCCCACCTTTTTCACCACTTGAACAAAAAAAAAGTCACATTTGATGCATTTAAACCTGTGGCCTTAATTTACAGTATATACAACTGATTAGTGGCTGGTTTAAATCTATTTAGTTTTGGGGGTTTGTTTTAAATGCACGTGACATTCACCTCTTCTGTTGAACCTTACAATGAAGTTGTGCTCCGTACTCTTAAGAGAAGGTTTTGGTTATGTTAAAACATATCCTGGTCTGTTTTTTGGAGGCCATAACTTTGACCTGATAAAAACTGACTTGATAGGAGTAATTAGCTTCTGTAAAACTAAAATGGCATGTAGGATCAAATTCAGTAAACGACTTTTTTCAGGTTCTTTTAAGACCAACTTTCAACGTTTCTTTAAAAATAAAGTCCATCACTGCAAGTGATCTCTTATATTGAAATGGGACATGCTCCTACAGATGTTTCACAGAAATTAAGTAATTCCACCAACATCAAACAGAGCTTACAAAAAGGGTCCAAGTGCTCTCACAAGGTACACATAGCTAAACATTGCCTTCATACCACAGAAGATGATGCTCTATGAGCTAAGAGGCATTCCACTGCTTTTCAGAAAAAGATCACATTGAGTTCATTTAGTCTTTCTCAGCTCTTGCAGCAGAGCAAACAATACCAGAAGTATCAAAACCAGAGCTCCAAGTTTTCCTCATTTGACATTCCAGCTTATCGTTTTATCACCACCTGCTCGTATGCTCCAGATCCCCCTCTGAAAGTTTGAAACAAGTTAGTTCAGTGTTAATTTAAATGGAAGCTAAATAGCAAGTATCACATATCAGCAAGTGTATTGATTAAACATGCCATTCCTCCAAAAAAAACCCAACAAAACCAAACAAACAGCAAATACCAAACCAGCTAAATGTGAAGGGTAGAAAACATTTGTCACTATTACCATGCCATGGAGTCACCTACTCTTTAATGCACTAAAGAGATTTTGTTGTACTACAGTCAAAATGAACCAAGAATAATGTTACTGAACAAGAAGTTACTGTTGAACTTCACTAGAATTTTTTAAGCATCACATTTAGGGTATCTATCCCCATAGCTGTATCATATGCAGCTAATACTCTTTATATACATTTATACATAAACAGGTCAATGTGTCTAAAAAACTCAGAAAATGATTGTCATCTTACATTAAGATACAAGAAAAACATCTTCAGTCTTTTGTTCACTCTGAATTGTAAACAAAACTCTCTCACTTCCCACATGACAGCCCATAGTGGGTGGTTTCCACAGCAAATTACAGTACAATGTAAAAAATTCATAGGGTAAGCTCTGCCTTGGTACAGTATTGTGTCTGGACTCTTCTGGCAGCTGCATTAGGACAGATCTCTGTGTGCTACAGGAGTGTGTTCTGTACCCTTTCATGTGGTCCTAGACAGGTATTGTTGTGCCCAGTTTGCAGATGAGCCAATTAATTTAACCATTAGTACTACATGCATGTTTAAAATGCAATTATTTTATGACTTTCAATATATTATCAACTGCCTTTATACCTAAGTCCATAGTAATTGCTGAAATACTGAGGCTATTCTGATTTCAGCTATAGCTGTTGAGTTACACTGGACTGCAGAAACACAGTGTTAGAACCCATTCTTGCCTGGTTTTCATGGTTCCTCATCTGAAGATTAACACATTCAGGTCAAGTCATATATCAGGATTGAAGAAGGTTTAGAGAAGGAAAAAAGGTCTTTGGTTCTGAACTATAAGATAACCTGAAGCAGATTATCAAAAGAGTTTAGGGCTGCCAATAGTTGAAAGCTGAACAAGCCATTGAAACAAGTAATGTAAGAAAAGGAAACAGGATTTGTGAGAAAAACTAAACTGAAGAAAATGAGGGTGGTTATTAGGAAGGTGTAACAGTTTGATTCTGTAAAGGCAGATGTGTAAAACACTTAAAATTTTCTTCCCACTCCAGAGTAACGTAATCAGGCTGTAGAGCTCCCCTTTGAAACTGGTGTCTGTTTCCTGCATCCATACTGAAACATTGCTTGTTTCTGAAAACCTTGGAACTGAGACTCTTCAGCAACTGAAAGTTACAATTCTTACTGAACATTGACATCAGTTCTGTTTTGGAACTAATCTATATGTCGTATTTTAAAAACTGACAGTCTAGCTTTTGGTGCTTTTAAGTGATACAGAATAGAAAGATACAAAGGTCAAGAATGTGGATACAGAGCAATTGCTGTATGAGATGCATTTTTATTTAGTATTGCCTATGGATTAGTTGTTCAGGCTACATACCTGTTAGGTAGATGGTGGCTTCCAAAAGAAGTGCTTCCACCAGGGCCCACAAATAATCTTAAACCTTCTTCTAAAAGGCAAATGATTAAAATATGTTAGCTTTCTTTAATGCTGTCCTAGCTAAATCCAAGTAATTTTAAATCTACCCGTTTTGCAGTTGACACTTTCAGATGCAAATACTTAGGTAATGAAGAAGCAACTTCATGGTGTACGTTGGAGGAAGTACCTTTGTCACAGATTTGCACCTGCTGTTTTAGGCTTAAAGTAATCACCTGGGAAAGCTCCCTGAGTCATGTAAGAGTATTTTCAATTTCTGGTAGGTAAGATAGAGTAGAAAATGTAGCACAGTCCTTATGAATACAAACAGGGACTGTGAAGAGGGTGGGTTTTTCTAAGGCCTGTAATGTACATAAATTTTCTGTAAGCTTCCTTCTTTATCTCCATACCTTCTGCACTTGAGTCTAAACTGAAGTCTTGACTCTGGAGTATTTTTTCAACTATATCATCAGCATCAACTCTGGTAGCATCAACCCTCTTCAGCTGTGACTCCACAGAGTCTTGCTTTACAGGATGTCTGCAAAAATAAATATATTTAGGCTCTTAGATGTGATAAAGTAATTTACTTGTGCTAGATAAGGGCTTCAGATTAAGTGTACCTGCATTGTTTTTCTGGTGGTGCTTCTTCAGTAGATGTATCAGTATCAGCTTCAGCTACTTTTGGCTCAGTCTCTTCACATGGCTCCAGAATACTTCCAGTTCCTGTTGAGGTACTTCCCACTGAGGTACTCCCCACTGAGGTGTTTCTCCTGTGGCAGAGTTCAGACAGACTGGATGACCTAGAGTGACATGTGCTGTATCCTGTTGGGAAAATGCAGGAGAGATGGGTTAGGTATGTTTTTGACAGGCCAGGTCCATCCTGAAAGTAGAATTTCTGTTTTATCTTTGTATAAAGGGACCTTCAAAAGCCCTATGAATGTATGTGCATACATCAACTGGAAACTGACTTCAGATTTTGTATTCTAGCACCTGCCATTTTCTTTTCGTTCTAAGTAATTCTTGTTTACATCAGGACAATTAGAATGACAAATATCATCTCCTTAAGCTTTTAGATCTAAGTCTCCATTTTTTTACTCATGGAAGAGGTAAAAATCTCATTCAGATATATTAATTGGAGGGAACAAAGGCAAAAAGCTGTCTTGCATCTGAAGAGATAATCCAGTAAACCCAGTACGTATTAAGAGGGAAAACATGTTACCATTGCCACACCTGAAGCTTCTAGGAAAAAAGCTTTCAATGCAAATCCTTTTTAAAACATAAACTTATTTTCCACTGTCTAAGCCTGTGAAAGAAAAATAATCCCCAACAACTCATAACAAAATTGTGAACAGCTACCTGACAGTTTTGATTGCTGACTTGCATAGCTTGATGTTCTGGAATGTCCACATGCACCAAGTTCATCTGGGACTGAGGCACTCTTGGATGAGACATCTGCAACATGGGCAAGTCACACAGTGTTCCTAAAGCCAACTTTATTGCTACTTTCACAGTAATCTTGATTAGATTCAAAAGTCACATTTCCCAGAGGGGTTAGAGATTTGACACTGATTTTCTGCAAACCTTTTGGAGATTCAAGTGCTGCAGAAATACCATGGATGTTAACGAAAATACATTCTTTAAAAAATAAAGATCATAATATGTATCTGAGCAAAACAGAGTACCATTGGGTTAGACAGATTTGTAGGAAATGTAGTTGTAGATTTGTCTAGTGTCAATATTAGAGATTACCATTCTGTCTCCAGTATCATAGCAGAATGTTGGGCCAGATGTTTTCTGTCTGAAAAGCTAACCTGCTTAAAAACTTCAGCTGTGTTTGAAGCAGAAACTCACAAACCATGTAAGAAGGTTCCTTTGCAGGCCAACTGTCAGCATCCCTTCCAGATTTGAAGTATTTTGAGCATCTTGAAACTATGAGACCAGTTATAAAAGCATTGAAAAATTAAGAGCATTATTCTGTACCTGCTATACCCAGATGTGCTACTTTTAAGTTTTCTCCACCTTTCCTGTCTTCATGCAAAGACTCTGATTCTCCAGCAATTGCTATAGATGTTGCTGTAGAAGGAGGCCTGTAAGAAAAAGGTGGTTAAGATTTGCTGTACTTCTGCTGTAATCCCTCCAAAATGATCAGCACATAGTTTTCCTTTCAAATATGTTGGTATCATTCATACTGTGCATCAGGTTAACAGACCTACAGTTCTTTTCTGGAAACATGCTGCCTAGTCCCCCATTAAGGAAAATGAAAAACAAAAAGGAAGTTTTTGCTATTGAGCTTAAGGACATTTTACAGAATCAATCTGCTCAGCCCTCAGGCTTCTGGGGATCCTGGGAAAGGCCTTTCCTTTTCTGATGGTTGGTGGAGTGATTTGTCTTTAATTTGAAGTTGTTTCTTATTTTTTTAAGTGTATGAATCACAGGGCAGTTTACACACTAATATGTAATTCAGTACTTGAAGGAATAAGGTGGTAAGTTTAAAAAAAAAAAGCCCAATGTGCACAACAGTTGGCCAAGTTGGCTTCTGTGCTGTGACACAATCCTGGCATTGTCTCATCCCTGTCATAGAGCAGGAAATTATTCTGGGCTGATAACCCTCCCAACTCCTAATAAAAGGGCCTATGGCACCATCTCCATATGTTGCACTCTAAATTTTACCTTCTACAAAATCAAAAAGCATCATGTATGATGTAGTTTAAATTTTACTTCAATATTAAAAGCTTATAATAAAGCTCAAGTGCTTGTTTGAGTTAATACCAAGACCCAAAGAGAGATCTTATTTAAATTAATAAACCTCTTAGTTTGTGTTTTGCTAGTGCAGAAGAAACTAATTAGACAATGACAAAGTACAAGCAATCTCTTGCAAGCAAATACAACCAAAATACATTTCAAGGTGTTCCCTACAGGATTTTTTAATGCTTTGTTATTTTCTACATTGGGAACAGACTGTTGGTCTGCATACAAATGGGTATTTGTTGACATTTTTAGATTTGATATAGTCAATAAATTAGTCACTGTCTTCATGTAGAGTTACACAGCCCCTCTTAGGTTATGTTTGAAAGTAAAGAGAGAAAGAAAAAAGCACTTCCAGAAATACAGTGCCTGTGTGACTTAACTGCATAATATACTTTTGAAAGCAAGAGCTGAATGGTTTCAGAGATGTCATCCCAGATCAAACACCAAGCCTTCTAGGCTTCTTCATAAAATATGTAGTTTGATGCCAGATTATGAAACTGTTTTAAAGTTTATTTTTCCTTCTACAAAGGACATCTGGATTAGATGTTTGTTCTGTTTGTGTTGAAAGTTTATGTTCCAGGAAATGGTTATATCACCAGTTTGGAAGAAAATGCCAAGTCTGAATAATTTGAGTAAGAGATTTTTTTCCCAGGAACCCAGAAAATTATTTAGGTATTAATTTCAACTCCTTCAGTATTAGGCAGTAAAAAACAAATACACTGCTATGTTAGTATTCAAGACTAATGATTAGTTGCCTTTGAGGACTTGTTTATCAGTGATGTATTTGTTAGTAGGGCTGACTCTAAAGTAAACCTACTAAAGCTGTTCTGAAGTAAAGGGGTGCTCAGGATCTTGGGGTACAGAAAAGTTTTGCCAGTCAGACAAATTCAGATAATACCCTCTTGCTATTTATTCAGTAAACACAAGATGGGATTCTGCAGTTGTTCAGTGTTCTATTCTTCTCATTAAAGGTTAGTAGAAGAGAAAAGAAAGGACATTTAGTGGTGTAAGGGGACATTGAAGAGTGCTGTGGAAAATCACCTAAGCCAGACTGGTACAAAACCACAGCACAACTATTACACTTCCTTAACTACAGAGCAAGGACAATGAGGCCAAAAGATCCTCAATGTACAGCAGTGCATTCTCCTAGCTACCTGCCCCTCAGAAGTTACCTATTGCATCTTTTACCAAGCTGCAGAATGTCTTTGCTAAGTAAGTATCTGTAAGTGCTTTCTCTTGTACTAAGTCACATCACACTTCTGTTGTTTGTTGGGGGTTTTTCTGCAAATGAATATTTCAAAGTCATCTGAGACTTGTGAATAAAAGGTATAGCAGCACATTTTCCAGACACAAGTATTAGTCAGATCACTCCATACCAAGTGTATTTATATAAGGTTGCTGCGGGAACATTTTCCCTGAAGTGGGTTTTTTTTACATTACAGATGTACAGGTGAGTATTCTGTGCTTGATACCAAGTTCCTAACAGCAAGAACTATGACACTTCTACTGGCAATTTTACCATGTTAGTCATTATTCAGCTACCATTCCATTTTTTTGTGGATTTTTTTAAAAATACTGTTGCCAGATTGGAGAGATGTAAAAACACAAATTAGAAGTGTAATTCTCAACATGGAATGCATGATCAAAACATCCCACAGGGATTTTTTACAAACTTACGTTTTAAAGCATGGGTCTCCAGACATCAGCTGCATGTTGATCAAAACCTACATATTAAGAAAACAAAATCCATCATAAGAAAAAAAAAATTGTTTGTGACACATATGTGGTCATGTAAATAAGTTATATTTGCCACAAATGTTATATTTAATGAAAATAAAATGCCATAATCACACATGCATAAAACAACATCATTTTCCTTAGGCATACAAACAACACAAAATACTCTTTAAAGTAACATAGTTACACATACAAGATTCTGAAAAAGAAACATAGATCAAGGAGAATCTCAGAATTATTAATAATTAAGATGGCTTCAAGGGAAAAACAGAGCCAAGAAACCTAAAACCTGAATGATCAAACAGAACATTGTTTAGAGCAGTGGGTGCTGAAGTTTGTTCTTTGCTGAGGGTGTTCAGCAAACTGCTGGCTCTCAGTACGGGTTGTGCTGACATCAGAGACAGCAGAAGCACACAGGGTAAATAAGCCATAGGACACAGTGCATTGAAGGCTTGTTAGGCAGGCCAAAGCCATCCATTACAAGTGTTCTGGACAGTCTGGGACTGTCAGATCAGAAAATCCATGCACAGACCGTATACTGAATAATGTGGAAAATTTATCCCGGTGTCCCAGTAGGAAAAAGAAAATTAAAATTACTTGAAACAATCAAGTAATTTTAATATGTAATTATTTTTAGGGTTATGGAGCTTATTCAGTTTTTTTAACTCCCTGGGCTAAGGGAAGAGGATATCAGAGTGGGTGTCTTGCAAGAATTCTCCCTAACTGTTAGTGTGATTACTATCAAATAGAAAACAGGAAAATCCCAGGACTCATCCCAGGTATTGGAGGTGGCTTGTACATATATAAGCCAATTTATAGATTCACTCTCAGAAAGATGCACAGAGGGTTGCCCAGTCTTGAGGATACCATACATTAACTTGTTCATTTTTCAGCTCCCCTTAGACTAGGGAAACCTTTTAAAAGCTTTTCTTTTACAGCTATCCAGCTCCATTTCAAGATAGGGCAAATTATATTTTTGATTGCATGGATTTCAATGATTGTCTCTAAACAACACTTTCAGTTTTACTTCAAATAGCTTTCCTTCCAGAAAGAGGTTCAGCAAATAAGTTTTAAATTTCATTAAGTGCTGAATAATAGCACTTGTTCTCTGCTTTATTACTTTAAGTATGATAAAGGAAAGAAATTACTTTGAGAATGGAGTTGTCTTGTCTTGTATGTTTGGTATCATAACCTTCCAGTAAACAGCGACGAGTGGTATTTCCCGATCCAGCAAATTCTGCTAGATTTAGATCTGCAAATCCCAGCTGTTAAGAGAAAATGACAATTAGTAGTAAGCATTTGGCTAAATGAAGGTACTTGCTAATTACACATTAAATACCACTCAATAGCAGTTTCATTCAAATATTAGAATGCCCATTTAAGGGAATGGACTGAGGCAAAAAGCAGAAAACAAACTCAGAAAAAATTCAGCATAGTTATATTTTCAGTTAAAAATTTTAAGTGCCAAAAGAGAAAAAGAATAAGGAGAGTTTTCTTTATCATTTAATGTAAATGTTTACTTTTACTAACCCTTTCCGCATACCAGCCTGAAAGAAAACAAGTTTTGGCGGTATAACATTGTTACAGACTTATTAAACACACTGATTGGAAGTTCCAACAGCACTGTGTCACTATAATGTACATTATGAAGTCATGGGTATTAAGTCCTATTCTGGAATTACTGTAAAAGGGCATAAAATGGCAAGAAAGAAAAGCTTATCTGTAGGCAAAATTAGCTACATCTCAATTTACCTTTGCATATGCCTTTCCTCCTTTTAATTCCTAGAAGAAAAAAAAAAAGGAAAAAAGACATACCATTAAGCCATTAAATATACTGACTCAAGATTTTTCTTTGTTTTTTTTTTAGAAATGCAGGTATTACTTTTGAAATATCTCCTCACATATTTGCTAGACTATGCTGTTGTCATTTAGACCTTAATATTCATAATGCCTTTGGAGCAGGCCAGCAAGACACTGTTGTCTTGGAGAGAGGAATAGCAAATGCCCAATGCCAGCTGGCACTGGGCTCTTACAAGGTCTGGCACCAAAGGTAGGACACACTGCATGCAAAATTCTGGTACTTAGCACAGTTCAAGGCTTCTGAGCTTACTGCTGCTAGCTGGAAATATCAACCAAGAGTTAACTTTATAAACACTGAAGGGAAATTCCTTTGCTGCCCTGCTGGAAAAAGGGTTTTCTTCAATAAAAACATAAAACCCCCATAAATTAGTCAAAGTAAAGGAAGTAATAAGATTACTACAAAATTTTAACTAAAGGAATACCTGGTGTGATTGCAGCTAAAATTTGCTTTATGAAGTTTATCAGACATTCAAAAATGAAAACAAAACCAAGGAAGAATGAGCAAGGAAAGAGGAGAGGAGGGGGAAGAGAGCTGCTTACCTTCCGCACAGACACCCTGCAAGTGCAGGTATCCAGAATCCCTGTTGTGGCACTGGCACTGATCTTACACATGAAGAAGAACTTCTTCTTCCAGCGGACACAGTTTGCCTGCACTACCTCCCTGCAAGCAGAGAGCATATGCTCACTGTCAGCTGCACATGCACTCAGAACCACACACTGCAATAACACAGCTCAAGAGCAAACACTGGTTCCACTCCTTGTAGAGTGGCCACTTCATGCAAATTCTGGTCCAAGGTGTGAATAATAACAATAGTCCCCCATTCTGCACTTAACAGTAGCATGACTAATAACTGTTTCAGGCCTTGAACACAGTATTAGACCTCCAGAAGAGTTCAGCAGCCATGTGTTTTTTCAAATGAATGAGAGTGTAATTTCTGCAGTTTGCCTCAGGAGTGTGAAGTCTTCCTGAACATCAACTACTGTCTCCCAAGCTGCTGAGCTTTGCAATGTGCTGAAGACAGCATCTTTGACAAGTAGTTTTTCAGTTCAGAGAAAAGGAGCATCATACAAGCAAAACTACATAAATTTGAGGCCTGGAAGAGTAGAAAGGAGATTATGTGCAATAACCAGAGACAAAGTAACAGACTTGGGGCGAATGAGAATTGCAGTTACATACTGTGAGCTTGCCATTTGAGAGCAAAATAAGCTGACACATCTGAAGGGATCTGTTTCTCACAGGAGGATAACAATCTGACAGTATTGGCAGGATGAAGGATGCTTTCAGTTATGAATGTCAGACAGAACACATTCTGTTTGGGTAATTCTGACCAAGAACAGACTCCAAAATGAAAAGGCACAGGGAGGACAACTAGAAAACCCCTGTATCTTAAAAGAAAAAAAACCCTGATAATTTCTTCTATCAGTCTAACCACTGAAGTACCGTCTTCACATATAAACATAAGTCTCCTTTTTCCTCTTCCATTTTCCTAATACATAAATTCCTATGTTTTATACTAACTTCTGCCAGCAGCTTATTATTGAAGCAGTTTGATGTCTTTAGCAGATAGAATCCTCTGGTTCTGCAGAAGCTGGAGCCAAAGTTCATCACGTGTATAGAAAAATGAAGAATTGCAGGGTGCTCACAAAAGCTCTCTTTGCTGTGCTGGTGAGACTGCCAGCACCAGGGCTCACAGGCACTGTGACTTCCTAAGGTGGGAATAAATCAGCCAGCCTAAAATGAGTCAGTGTAATGACCACAACAGACTAACAGATTCTGATGATACAACACTGAGTCACATTCAAGCATGTGACCTGGAAGGAACATGCTCTGTAAACACCATGATCTACTCTTTATCTGGGATGTTATACATTGCCAGCTTTCCTGTATTGTGGGAAAAAATGAATCCCATCCTGCTGTCATGTGAGTTATTTAAATATACAAAAGAACCAGAATTCAAAAAAGGCAAATTACAAATAGTCACATCTCTATTGAAACAGGCTCAGACAAGAAGACATCATGTAAAATTCACCCTTAAAAGGGATAACAACTGCTGCCATTTGTGACACATATGAAACACTGCCACTAAATTGAAAGAGTTCACTTGTCATCCATAAAGGTCAGAAAATCCTTTCTCATTACATCTGTTTGTTGCAGAAGTAGGACAGCAGTCATCATCATCATCCTTCCCACCCTTTCCTTGTCACCCAGGACACCACTGGCTCTACCAATAACAGTATCACTTTTGCTGCTACTCATCATTTCACTAAGTTCTTGGAGTGTTTTTGCTTTTGTAACATTTCCAATTAGTAATAATGATACTTTTTCCACTGAAAAAGTGTTTTTGTAAACTCAAAGTTGAAGCAATGTTCCAAAATCTTTGTACTACTCAGTATAATGGTTCAAGTTGTTTCTGCTTCTCAGAACAGCCTTCTGTCTCTGCAGCAAAGTCAAAGCAGCTGCACCTTCCACAGTTATGGTGTTCTGGACATCACTCACATTGTAGCAAATGATAATGCAGTGAACATTAAACACATTTTTGCTTGTAAATGCAAGAGAAATATAAGTAACATCTGCTTGAGAAATGTAAGCATCCTTAAAACCTTTAAGGATTTTGAATTTATTTCAACATATCAATACTACTATATGGGTATAATGGTTCAAGTAAGGAATATAGCACAAAACCACTCTGTCTTTGATAGACTCAGTCCACTCATATCACAGGTCAGGATTTGCAAACAAGAAGCAGAAGTGGCAGTAAAAAGGATTCAGTTATGGATACTGATGGTCTCATTTTTCTAAAAATAAAATCAAAACCAGGAATTCTGCTTCCTTCTCATAAGGATGTCAGAAAAAAAGTATCATTAGATTCTTTCACTGGCATATAAATCAAAAGATATTTGAAAAATTTGTACACAATTAAAAAAAAAACCAAAACAAAAAACTAAACAAAGAAACCCCCACCAAAACCCAACCTACTGCCCCTATTCCCACTAAACAGTTCTTCTAATTCCACTATATAAAAGAAAAAATTGATGTATTTTAATTCAGGAAATTTCTTTGTAAAGAAGAGTACCATCTAGCTATTCCCATTGTGCTGAAAAAAGGTCAAATAATCAGAACATTTAACTTTAACAGTAACATCTAAGTTTATAAGATTCTTAGTTAAGTGCCAGGCCTTTAGAAAATAAACAGCTGTATTGATTGGCTGCTATGGAAATGAACCCAGATAACTTCTGGCAGCTCTTGCTGTGCTGCAGCACGCTGGGGAGAGCTTTCCGTTCTGAGTCAGTTTCCTACAAACCTCCCCGTCACTTCACCACATGCAAAGCAAAACCAGTTGTTTTCTTAATCAAAATGTATCTTAGTTACCAAGATGCTGTCAGTAGTATGTAACCAAGAATAAGTTCAATAAACAGATACTGTAGGATAAAATGACTCCAAACTATAGTGTGTTACCATCACTGTTTTTTCTTTAGAGGAACAATTTCACATTGACTCAATTTCAAATGCAAGATGTAAGCTGTAGTCAGGTCCTTGTTTGTAGATGTTTTGTATACTGAACACAATTGCCTTTTAAAATGTTGAATAAAAGTATTGAATTTTTCTTCTGACACATAATAAAGAAAAAAAGTAAACTCAAATAATAGACAACAAATCCTACTCTAGTCACCTCCTCATCCTAAAGTGCTACAAGTGATGGACTACTTTTTAACGTGTTTATCAGATTGTTTGTTCATTTCCACATGGATAAAATCTATGAGTAATGGCTGATTCCAGCAAATAGCTACAAATACAAAAATAAGTCACTTTAGGGATCTTCAGTGTCCTGGGGAAAATCCCTTCTTGGTAAATGGAAAAGCTTTAGCATGAGAGGCTCTGAAATAAGCCAAAACTCCTTCTGGACATTTACCAAAAGACTGTGTTCCATTAATCAGAAAATTTGATTTATTTAACAGCCTATTAGGATCTTTAGCCATATGGGGATGATTATGTTAAACTGCTTGTGTTTGTAGTGCAATTATTTTAGATTTATTGGTCACCAAAGAAACAATAAATTGGGATCATTGTTTTAAGATGCCATTCAGTCTGTTCACATGAAAATACTTCCAGAACTACTTTTGGATTCAGCTGGGTCAGTACACTTATTTATGTCAAAGAAAGTGGTGTTTGCTAATGCGTCTTACAGCATGTGAACAGAACCCGAGTTCTGTTATCTACTCACTGTAAATAGTGTGAAAAACCAGCTTTTTCACTACATGAGGTAAATGAACAATATTATTATTATCTTTTAAAGCCGGTAATTTAATGAGAGAGTCATCTAAGTTTTGCTTGTTAATTTTAGAAGAAAATCTCTCCTACTGATAGGATGGCCTGAGGGAAGTGAGGCTGCTGCAGCTGCACCGGTCAGAGGGGAGCAGCAGCGAGCAGAGGAGGTGTTCCCGGGAAGCGCTGCTGCCAGCACTCACAGCCGGCCCATGGCACTCACAGCCGGCCCGGGGGCACTCACAGCCGGCCCATGGCACTCACAGCCGGCCCGGGGGGCACTCACAGCCGGCCCGGGGGCACGCACAGCCGGCCCGGGGGCACTCACAGCCGGCCCGGGGGGCACGCACAGCCGGCCCGGGGGGCACTCACAGCCGGCCCGGGGGTACTCCCAGCCGGCCCGGGGGTACTCCCAGCCGGCCCGGGGGGCACTCACAGCCGGCCCGGGGGCACGCACAGCCGGCCCGGGAGGCACGCACAGCCGGCCCGCTCCGGCAGCGCTAGGGCTGAGCAGCACAGAGCTCTGCTAGACACATCCATAGACAGAGACCTGTGCATGGCTCCGGGCCATCTCACCTGCTCCTGCTATCCCACAGTCTAACTCCAGCCTCTGCTCCAAGTGCAGGCTGACCTGTGCATGGCTCCGGGCTATCCCACCTGCTATCCCACAGTCCAGCTCCAGCCCCCAGTGCCTCGGTTCCAGGTGCAGGCACCGCAGGCACAGGGATCTTTGATTGCCGTCCCGCCCCCGTAGCTGGCGTTTGCTGTGACCCATCTGGGCTCTCCAGGTGCTGGCACCCCAAGTGCTCTGGCCACACTCCCTGGGCAGCTGCTGGCACAATGGACACACAGGGCCCGTGAGCCACAGTACCACTCCCATGGCATGAGCGTGCTCACTCTGGCCTCTCCTGCTGCTGGCTGCCCTGTGACACTCTTGACTCCAGTTGCTGGCACTAAGGCATTCCCTGCCCCACAGTGCACACTGAACACAGAGCCCTTCCCCAGGAAAGAGTCACAATGTTCTTCATCAGGAAGATACAGCAGAAATTACTGATTAGAAACAGATTAGACAAACATACCAACCAGCAAACTGTTTACCTCCAACTGGCCCTTTATCCCCTTAACTCCCTATTTCTCCCCACACTTGTTCCTCCTCAAACTCATCCCTTCCTCCACCTTTAGTTCCTCCCCAAATTCTCCCACAATAAGCCTCTTCCCTTGCATCCCATGATGTGTCTCATAGAGAGCAACTCCCTCAGTCCAAAACATGCTTTAGCTTTAGTTCAACATGATGGGTTTCCTGCCTGGACAATGGGGCTAAGGATCTCCTGGGATCCCTGGGAGGGGCCCAGAGAGGGTGTCCCCTTGTGCAAGCCCATAATTTCAGTTCCCCACCT